ATGAGGACGGTCCCGACGCCGACGCGCACGGGCACTGGGCAGCTCCCGGTGCAACGAGCAGCGCGGGTCGTGCATGTCGTGCGGGTGCAGCCGCAGCAGCAGCAGCAGCAAGGCCAGCAGCAAGGCCAGCAGCAGCAGAAGCAGTTGCCAGACAGGGGCTCCGCGGAGGTGCCGGCGGGCAAGCCTGCTCAGGTCAGAGGCCCCAAATCAAAAGTGTGGGCATTCAGTCTGGTGGTCTGTCGCCTCCTCTCGGGACTTCTCTGTGCGCTTGGCTTCCTCTGCTATCCGCATGGTTGCCCGTGCATCCGTGTCTCAGCAATCGTCGAACAATCGTCAAACTCAGAAGTAGGGTAGAGTAGAATGGAGCATAACAGAGACGAGTATAGCAGAGAAGAGCTTACTAGTATAACAGAGCAGGCTACGTAGCACCCCGCAATTGCGGATAAGAGTGAGGGGGCGGGCGCGGGCGACGCGGGCGTCGTCGAGCCGGCGGACCTCGTGGCCCCCACCTTCCTTGTCGATGGCGCTCTCCTCCTCCTCCTTCTTCTCCTCCTCGTCCTCGTCCTCATCGTCATCGTCATCGTCATCCTCCTCCTCCACCTCGTCCTCCTCATCCTCTTCTTCCTCGTCCTCCCTCTCCCCCCCTCGTCCTTTCATCATCGTCCTCCCATTGTCGTCCTCCCCCTCATCGGCCTCCATCATCGTCCTCCCACTGTCGTCCATCATCATCCTCCTCCCCCTCTTCCCCTTCCTCCCCCTCCTCCCCCTCCTCCCCCTCCTCGTCCTCCCCCTGCTCCCCCTCCTCGTCCTCCTGCTCCTCCTCCTCCTCCTCCTCCTCCTCCTCCTCCTTCTCCTCCTCCTCCTCCTCGTCCTCCTCCTCCTCCTCCTCCTCCTCCTCCTCCTCCTCCTCCTCCTCCTCCTCCTCTTCCTCCTCTTTCTCCACATGTTCCTTGCATCCTCTCTTTTTCCGCGTCCTCCTCGTCCCCTGTTTACTCTTCCTGTTTCCCCCTCCTTTCCCAAGATATCGGCAACGCAATCGTTTTTCCCACTTTGTGCTCTCCGACTTCTCTGATCAAGGCAACTCGCCAGGGCAAAGTTGCTGGACGGGCTGGTGTGGATGCGCGGGGCTTGAAGAGGTCTTTGCGGGCTCAGACGGCATGCAACAATCAGCCGCCGCGCTTGTGCGGCATTGGTTTGTTCAGTGAACGTGGTTTGGGTCGCGGGTGGGTCGCGGGCTCTCCACCTCCACCCGGAAGGAATGCAAAAGCAGCCCGCCGCAGGCGCCAACAAACATTGGTTTGTATACTGAACGCGGTTTGGGCCGCGGGTTCTCCACCGGGAACGAATGCAAAAAATGCCCGCCGCATGCGCCGAAAAATTAGGTTTGCACCCTGAACGCGGTCGCGGGTGGGCCGCGGGCTCTCAACTTGAAACGATTGCAAAAGATGCCCGCCGCAGGCGCCGAAAAATGTGGTTTGTACCCTGAACGTGGTTTGGGTCGCGGGTTGGTCGCAAGTTGGTCACGGGGTGGGTCGCGGGCTCTCCACTTGGAAACAATGCAAAAAAAAAAAAACCAGCCGCAGGCGCCGAAGATGGTGGTTTGTACCTTGAACGCGGTTTGGGTCGAAGGTGAGTCGCGGGTGGGTCGCGGGGTGGGTCGGGTGGGTCGCGGGTGGGTCGCTGGTGGGTCGCAGGTGGGTCGCGGGTGGGTCGCGGGGTGGGCCGCGGGTGGGTGGCGGAGTGGGTCGCGGGGTGGGTCGCGGGGTGGGTCGCGCGGTGGGTCGCGCGGTGGGTCGCGCGGTGGGTCGCGGGGTGGGTCGCGGGTGGGTCGCGGGTGGGTCGCGGGTGGGTCGCGGGGTGGGTCGCGGGGTGGGTCGCGGGTGGGTCGCTGGGCGGGTTGCGGGTGGGACGACGACAACAAACAACAATAACAAACAACAACAAACAACGACAACAACAACAACAACAACAACACGAATCCGCACCGCGGACTTCTGCTTCAGCCACGCACCCAGGGACAGTGAATGACCGTTCGGCCCCCTCACTCTGATATTGGTTTGGAGTAGACGAGAGTAGAGAAGAGTAGAGTAATTAGAGTAGGGTAGGGAATAGTAGAGTCAAGTAGGGTGACTTAGGACATGGTAGGGTAGGGTAGAGCAGAGCAGAGTAGAGTAGGATAGCTGGAAGAGTAGTGCCAGGTATATTCGAGCAGAGTAGAGGAGAGAATATACGAGTATACCATAATAGAGTAGAATAGAGTCGAGTAGAGTGGAGTAGTGCAGAGTTGAGTAGAGTAGAGTAGAGTGAAGTAGAGGAGAACGTATTGGAGTATGAGTACAGTAGAGTAGAGTAGAGTAGAGCGGAGCAGAACAGAACAGAGCAGAGTAGAGTAGAGTAGACCAGGCTAGGCTGGGGTAGGGTAGAGTAGCGTAGGGTAGAGTAGAGCAGGCAGAGTTGAGAATATGAGGGTCGAGTAGAGTGTAGTAGAGAAGTAATAGAGTAGGGTATGGTATAATAGGAGTAGTGCCGACTAAGGTAGAGTAGGGCAGGGTAGGGTAGGGCAAAGTAGAGCAGAGCATAATAGGGTAGAGTAGATCAGAGTAGAGTCGGGTAGATGGTGGAGTCGAGTCGAGTAGAGCAGAGAGGAGTAGAGATCGGAGTAGAGTAGAGTAGGGTAGAGAGGAGTAGAGTAGAGTAGGGTAGAGTGAGAAGAGTGCAGTAGAGTAGAGCAGACCAGTTCAGTCCAGATCAGTCTAGTCCAGTCTCTCCAGCCCAGTCTAGCCCACGCCAGTCTTCTCCAGTCCAGTCTACCTCAGTTCACTCCAGTCCGCTTTATTTCAGTCTTCTGATCTATTTTGAGTCTCCGCTTGTGGATATGTTGTTGTCGCCATTATCAAGCGTTCCCCATGCCTTCCCTTTTTGTCGCGGCCTCTCCGCGCATGCATGCCCACATTCACATAGCAAACAAATCATACACATACGGCACTCCTCTTCATCGCGGCCTCTCCGCACACACACAGACTCACAACATACTCCGGAGCAAGAGTGAGGCACGAGTGACAGCCTCATAGCATAACACACGCACGCACAAACAAAGACGCGCACACACACAAACGCATCCGCACACGCACACGGACACACGCGCACACGCACACGCACACGCACACGCACGCGCCGCACACGCGCACGCACAGCATACACACACACACTCACACGATGTTATAATTTGCATAGTGGAAGCGGGATCTAAACTCCTAGGGATGATCGTTCCATTACCTCCCATCAGTGAATGCCTGCCCCCACCCTGATCAGGCCCAAGCCAGGCGACTCGTAATCCCCAAGCAAGCTTGAGAGTACTGACCCACCTCCCACCCTGCCGAAGGCGGGCATGCCACAAAGCAAGCTTGACTCTCCCCGCCCGACACCTTCAGACTTCAAGATCAGATCCCTCCAAGATAGCTCGGTCCAGACCCCCAAACATTGTACCCCCATTCATTTTGACGAGTCGTGCAGTATGCACGTGCACGGTTACGTGCCAGCCAGCCTTGCACTCGAATCCACTTTCGCCGCCTTCGACAGTGCAGTTGTGGGTGGCGCTGTCGGCCAGCGGCTCCCCGACCCGCGCGGCGCGCTCTGGTCGTGCGGGGGCCCGCTTATGTTGCTCGTGGTTATGGGGCGAATCGGTTTATCCTTCACGTGGTGCGCACATGAGCATCGTGTAGAAAATACTGCAAGATTCGTCGCCGGAGCGTCGGTGTGGCGCCGGAGGACGGCTCTCCCATACACTATTCGCAGCAGCTCCGATGACGCGCAGCGCGTTTCTAAGGGAACACTGCGATGGGGCAACAAGGCACGCCAGCCTCATCCGCGGCAGGTGCTCTACACAGTTCCCTGCGGAGCCCGTCGGCTGGCAGGTGCCCCCAGGGGTGTCGGGCAGACGGCTCCCCTCGTTGAGAGGCCGGCCGGAGAGGCGCGCGCCGACCCGCAGCCGCCAGAGCACCTGCTCGCCAGACGGCCTGGCATGCGTGCCCCGGGAGCCTCCGCGCGGCGCCCGCCGGGGCCGCGCGGCGTGCCGAAGCCTTCTCTGCGATGCCCCTGCAGGTCCCGACCAGTCTCCCCCTCCCCACTGTGGGGGGCGCCAGCCGGCGCGCAGGAGCGGGGGGGTGCGGGCGGCGAGGTCTGTGCACATCCCCTGCCGCAGGCTGGGCCCATCCTGGGCCCAGGATCGGTACATACGCCTCCTTGGCCAAGCCATGGGGGCGTATGCGACGCTCCAGGGGCGGTGGGTACGGCCTAGCCACGGGCGGTGGATGTATAGATCTGGTCGCCCCAGGGTGGAGGGTGGGGTGGCTTTCTGGGCGTGCAGGGGGGCTCCTCGGGAGCCCCGCCGCCTCCTGAGGAGCCCTCGCAGAAGCCCCCGAGCCCTTCCGAGAAGAAGCCTCTGGCCTGCTTGGGCGGCGCCCCCCCCACCCCGTCCCCCGCCCCGTCCCCCCCCCTCGTGTGCTGCGAAGGTCAGAGGACCTCGTCCCCGCATTGCTTTCGGGCTTCCGAGCAGGGCGCGGTGCTCCGCTGGCCGCAGTGGCAGAGCACCTTGCCGCGGGCGCTCCAGGGCGTGGCCGCGCCCCAGATGTTTGTGCCAGAGCCAGTCTGCGAGGCTCTGCTGCCGTTGCCGCGCTTGCTGCCGCCGCCGTGACGCCGCTCCTCGCCCTGGCGAGCGAGAGGGGGATCGAGGGAGGCAGGGACAAATAATGATGATGAGGCGGCGAGAGGGAAGATGAGAAGGATGAGGATTGGGCTGCTGATGTTGATGTTGATGGTGACGTTGATTAAGGTGGTGGTGGAGATGCTGCTGCTGAGGCTGGTGATGATGGTGATGATGATGATGATGATGATGCTGATGATAATGATGTTGATTATGATGGTGACGATGAAGATGGTGGTGGTGGTGACGATGGTGATGCTGATTATTGTGCAGATGATGATGCTGGATGATTGCGATG